TACTATAGGCGTGTTGTTGAAGATTAGTCTCCTCTCCAGAACACCGCATGGTAGAGGAGATAGATACGATATGGTCGCGGTACTGCAAGTGTTTTGCTCAGCAAATGGAGATGAGTCTATGGAGTTGACTTCATGAAAAGTGCTCATGTCTTTGTGTCCTTTTCATTGTAATACTGTGAACGATCAAAACTACTCATGCCAAGCAGACATGCCACCCTATCCATAAACATCCAGCAAAGCTAACTGAATGTCAAAAAATGGTAGGAGCATATACCACATGGTGTGTGCTTTTTCAATCAGGTGTCTATCGTAACATTTTGTAGGCCTACATCAAATTAAAACAAATATACTAATTTCTGTATGAAAGAATGTAGTTTTTGTGTGGCCTAAACGAAGTTTTGGGGGACACTTTACCAGTCGTAGATTCTGTATCCCCGTATGACCGTATCTCCGTAAGTCCGTATATGTATGTTAAAGTTGAGGTTAAGTTCTTGAGAAAAAATGTATATCATCTACATGCTTTGATGGATTTTGATGAAACTTGGATGCAGTCACTCTTAGGTGGGAAGACACAATTCTTTTTTGGATTACTGAGGTCAAAGGTCATGTAAGGGTCACTAGAGATCATTGTTCAAATATACTCCAAATTTTCATTGTCTACAGAATTTGATGGATTTTAATGTAACTTGGATGGAGTGATCCTAATTGGGTGGGGGTTCATGACAACTCTTCCGAAAGGTCCAAGGTCATTAAGGGGTCAGTTGAGGTCATTGTTTAAAAATGCACAAAGTATGACTTTTTTAAGAACACAAAAACCGCGAAAAAAGGCGACACGTGCAATCCGCCGATCACTTGTTTCTCAACCCATGCAGTCACACAATTCCTCCTCGCTGATCAGTCGTTAGGAGAGCTAGCCAATCAGAGCCACTCGTTCTGCAACAGCAAATACTATCATAAGACAACAAAGTGAAAACACCGACTACTTTTCCAACTACAGAATCTAGTCGTAATGGAAAATTCAAGGTGATCGTTACAGATTTTGGACTTGATTCCACTAACGATATTTTTTTTAAATTGCACTCAACTTACCCTGTAAGTGCCTATAGTCAATTTCGACTACAATTTCTGATCAAATATGACGACTGCTTTTTTTTAAAAAAGCATGTGACATACCAGCGGGTTATTGTATGAGTCTCCTATAGGTGTGTGTTACCCCAGTGTAATGCCGTCTGTGGGATGTAAAGCGGTGGGTCGTGTGTCGTCTCGCCTCAGCGAGGCCGTGAGCAAGCGCTCATTTGCCCGCCAGCACCTCTGAAATTTCCCGCTGCTTTCGACGTGATAGGAAAAGGAGGGGACGATAATGTCGATTCTCTTCCGTGACTTTTGTTTCGGCTGTATCGATTTCTGAGCTACTTGGTCTGTTGTTAATTTGGGAGACCGTGACGTAGGGAGTAAGAAATTACAATGCAAGGCCGAAAAATAGTGTGTGTTAGTATTTTCTTATTGTGTGTTGGTATTTTCTTTTAGTCAACAATTTAGGGGTTATACATATACATTTTGTACGGAAAATATTTTGGTCCTATATAATTTCAAAACAGTAAGAATGAGAGGCCCAATGAAAGTCTTACAGTTTCTGGCTTACGGTTTGAAGTTAAGGACTGGTTATGGGGCTACGGCTCAGTACGAGTCCCGGTAACACTGCGTGAATACTAAAAACAAATTTAAGTGGAAGTTAGCCTTATCATTGTAGTTCGAGCATTTACGGCTTCCAAGAGCCCGCGCAGTCCAAACTGAAGGTTTCTTGACTAGGCCATTGGCGCAGTGGTTACTTTCCTTGCCTTCTACCGCTGTGGCCCGAGTTCGATTCCGGCCCGGACCACATGTGGATTGTGTTTTCAGCCCCTACCTGATTCCGTGGGTTTTCCACAGAATATTGTTCTGTGGTTTTCCTCCCAGCTCTAAAACTGTGTTTCTTCTCATTGTATCCTCTCTACATGTTTCTTCAGGCTTTCGAGCCACAGTGCCTATAGGGCACTTTTGAGGAAGCCTTGGTTTCATGACGAGAAATAAAAACATTAAAAATTAATATATAAAATCTCAACAAAAGAGACTGAGTACAATGCCCATTTCACACACATGTTTTGCTCAACAATTTTTATTCAACAATTGGAAATTAGGTAATAATTTGCATTCGGTAATAATTTGCATTCGATCTTTATTGCCACGTTTTAGTGCTTCAAATAAGTGTGATATCTATGGCAAAAAAGGTTAGTTGAAATTCCATCACATTAAGGGTGCTTTATCCGTTATTTGGGGGTAACTGTTGATTGTTTTCATAACACGGAAAGGTCATTGAGAAAATTGTATAAAAAGAAGCTTATCAAAACATGTCTGCGACTTTCCTCCAAATTGTGATTGTACCGAGTTGGTTTTTGTGGAAACATTGAAATTTAGATTTTCGCCAGGCCCCTTTTCTCCGATAACAGGCATCTCAAAATTGAAGCACTCTCGTACATACCCTTTATGTTTAGAGCACTATAGACAAGACGGGCCATCAATAGTGTATGCATGAACACTGACTGTACACCAACGATAATCTCCAGAACAAATGATCTTTTCCTGCTTTTGCAATGCTTTCCTGGTCGGTTACCCGGGCAACCACTTAGGAATATGACCAAACAGAAAATTACAAGTATGCAGCTAATGAGAGCCGAATGCGGTGAAGACTGTACGTAACGCCATCCAGGGATCGCGGTAATTTGCGAACATTGAACCCTGACGACTCATGTTGCTTAAGTGACACAATAATGAGGCTGCATGTGCGTCTCTTCCCCTTATGTTTTTTTTGTCCCGCCCAAAACAACACACAGAAGAATTCACGTGCAGGGACCTAACATTAATAGAATCGTGATTTACCGTTTGGTATTTATTTTCTTGCTCATCCATTGTGGCAGTGTGAGACACTGCCGAAGTCCACGCGGATGGCATTTTATGTGACGTGCATAGTCCTTGTGTCAACACCAACAATTAATCATGGCGTTAAGATCGCGCATAAGTCTTTCCATGTTTGTTTTGCGTGGATGTATTCCTCCTTGTCTCCACACCGGTCTGCTGCCAATCATCTCGCGGACTTTATTGACTATACCATTCTGCTTATTTGTACTTTTTCTCCAACATTTCCGCAATCCCTTTTCTGTATAGTTCCTGGTGTTTTTTTCCCCAACTAGACTCTCTGCATCCTTTCCGAGATCTGCATCTTTTCTTCCCAGTCTTGCTTGTTCGTCCACACATATGCGGTATTCTAATTGTTTGTCTTTCCGTTGTATATTGTTTGGATGTTGTACCTCATAATATGTGATGTCTTTCGTGTGATGTAATCGTAGATCGGAATTTGAATGTATTCCCCTCTCTGCCCGTCTGTTTGTTCGTCCGTCTTCCCGATTGTCTGCCTGTCTGTGTCCTTCTGGGCAATTGTCAGAACATAAAGAATGGCCCATGCTTTTAACGTTAAGATTGAGTACCGTGCATCATCCCAACATCTCGTTTTTTGGCACTTGTGTTATTACCAGGAACATATTTTGGGATGAGGTTTAAACCCCTCTGCTCCGAATCAAGCTATTTTACATCTGCAAAAGAAAGTGCCATATATATGTCTTTTGTTTTGTCATGCATATAGGCCCTAACACCCGAACCACACCATTTCAAATTGAATTTGAATTTGTTTTTAAATACAATTTGTTGATGTAATGTGATTTTGTGTGTGTGAGGACACGATGTACACTTTCGTAATAAACGAATACCAACAGAACAACGTCTGTACTTGACACTGTGACCTAAAGCGTGCCAGTGCATTGTTTGATGTACAAACCATTGACAAAATTTAACTGGAGTTATAGAAGAAAAAAACTCGGAAGCTGAGGCGAATGCCAAATTTTCAAATTCACTTTTTTGGATTCTAAAAGTATCCCTTTATTCTAGGTTTTGGTAACAGCATTACGTGGAAATGCGTAGGCCTACAGAAATAACATCCACAAAAGTATTTAGAAATTACGGAAAACCAACAGTGAGGGAAAAAGTTAAAGTATAGCAACACCTTAATTTTAACCTCCGACCTTTTCGAGGACATTTTCCGACCATTATTTGAGAAAAAAATGAAATAAATTAAACTGTAAATGCAAATAGTGGTCCGGTATTTTACAAGGTTTGGTTTGTGGTGCAAGTAAAAATAAAAACTACAGGTTTACAAAAAAGTAATAATGGCTAGCGCGGCAGTCGTGAGCCACGTCAGTGGGGAGATGAGAAATCGCGGACTTTGCCACCAAAATGACAGCGGCAATTTGGCCTGACTGTTTCAAATCGCATTCCATGACCCGTTTTCCAGTCCCAAACGAAGGAGATAGATTGCTCTTCCCGCCTCGACAATCCGGCCCAGGGAACGCGTCGGCCCGTGGTACGTGTTGGCACGCGCTTGGCTGTATGCTGAGGAACGGGGGAACCCCGCCCCGACCGACCGTGTGACTTCTCTCCCCTGGCCCTCTACTCCCTGTTCCCTGGCATCACCCACCCCTACCGCGTCACACCCGCCACACAACTACCGACCAACCGCAAAACCGGTAGGGGACAAATTAGCCATCAGCGGTCGTCCAGAAAATCAACAAAGATGACAGCGTGTCAGTGTTGTCCCAGCCCATTGGACAAAACGAAGAAAAAAATAATATTTTAATTAACATAAATAATTAAGAGCGGTGTCGGGTTGTGGTGCAGCCGGGTCGGTGGACGTGCAAGACCCGCCCATGACAGGTTGTGATAGGCGAATGCGCCAGGGGGATGGTTCAGATGAGTTGAAGTCGAAGGCATGGCTGATACACAGTTTCCTATGCCCCACACCACACACCACATATTATATATATGACATGATATACTCAGTGTATAAAATACACAATAAAAAAAAACCTGCGCGCCTGTGATTCCGCCGTGCATTTATTAATGTGCTGGGGGTCGGGGGTCAAAAGTGCGCAGACATTCCTTGCACCGGAGTCAAAAACCGGCACACGGCGCGCCATCGTGCGAGTTAGTGCACTGTATTAGCGGCCGGGTTTCTTGGGGAGCAAGCGAGTCTTGGCAAAGTTCGGCACCGCGACACACCGTGAGGACGGAGCAACTCAGGGCTCGCATCTTTAGGCCGCTGAATTCCCACGGAACAACGCCGTCGTCAGCAAGAGACCCACGAAAAAAACACACGCGGTGCCAGGGATTTTTTTAGGGGGCAGCGGACAGGAGTCGCAGAACTCGGAGAGCACAGCGTGTTAGCCAGGGCTTGCATACCGTGCCAAGGCACCTCCTGCCCCGCCGACATTTGACTCGACGCGCTGTGTGAGACGTACCACCGCGGAAGAGAGGTACCTCAGCGACTTGCCACCAGCGACCCCGATCCCCCCGAACCGAACCTAAGGGGGGTACCCACCAGCTGACATCTCCCGTTCAAAGGTGAGGCAAGTCACGATATAAGCATTGTACCACTGTTGTCTTTTTTTAAGAGGGTTGAATTTGACTACGTTCATTGCATACTCAATGCAGGCCACGGTATCTGGGGCAAATGTTGCGCGCCGTTTACTGTTTGCCCATACGCCTATGTGTATTTGTCAAGTGCCAGGTTATGGCGAGTTCACTGCCACGGTTCATGAATGAGCCGATCGTTACTGAACTATTATTGCATGTATTATCATTATTCCATCATGCAATATGGTGCCCCAACTACTATTGTTTGGTTATGCGGAAGATGATATGCGGGCATTGAGACGGCCTTTATGTAATGCATATTTAAAAATGTAGCTGCCTCTAACTGCATGTGTGTAACGTAAACTGGGGCTGAAGCTCTATGCAGAATGTACCATGTTAAGACTAATGCAATCAAACCATTGCCAAAGCATCAACCACATTTAGTTCCTGTTTAGCAAATATCTCATATGAAGACCGATGCCTTTTAACTCTTTTACATAATGGTATTTTCGTTGAAGCAAGTTTTATTAATAATCCAGTGCCCAAATAAGAACAAAACATTCATAACCAGAACACGAAAAATTCATAAGATTGATAGCTCATTAACCGCAGCAGTCAGAATAGAACTGTAGTTTCTGTTTACAATAAAAAAAAATAGTGTTCTGGATTTTTGAACAAAATTTTGCCTTATGGGTGATTTAAATTTAAAGAATTTAATTGTACCTCAATGAAGGGCAAACGTTCAATACATTGAAGTGTCCTTATTTTATCAAAATGCATTTTTGTGTAGGCCCTACTTTGGCCTATTAGATTTGATACCATTAGAAGAGAACAGATTCTTCTATAGGTTTAGTATGAGGCACAGAATGAATCGCATTTATCGTCGTGAAAATAATAAGCAAATATATAAGATCCTTATATAAAAGAAGCGATGTTCATGATATTTTGAATATATAAGCTTAAGTCTATATACGGATACTCTTACACTCCATAGTTGTGGTTTGTATCCATCCACGGCAAAAACAAATTCACAACAGTCAAGCAAAAATTTAAATTTTAGCATATCATATATACTGAGCAATACTAAGATAACATACCTCAGACAATAATAACAGTGTGTTGTACCTGAAAAGTCAAGTGGAGAACATTTTAAACTTCTTGTTTTAAAACTTTATGTTTAACTAATTTTAAGCTTACGTATTCCAAACTTTTTAGGTTGTATTTCGACGGTTCAGTTGGAAAATTATACATATGTTCTGTTTGAAGTAGTCTGTACTATTTTCGAAATATGAAAATGTCCTTAATATCAAACCCATTTGTACCAGGTGTGGATGTTTCATAGGACATTAAATTAAGCACATGCGTGCACTTCGGTATTTCCCTTATTTTAAACAACTTTAAATTTGGATTATTTGACAAAATTAACCAATGTTATGTGACCAATGGACTTAAAAAGCTTCAAACAATATTTACATTTTTTTGGTGGGGGGGGGGGGGGGGGGGGGTTCATAGGCATAAGTCTATAGGTTTCCCCATAATACTTGGTTTAACCCGAACCATCCGTTTGTATAAACTCCAGAAAATCCCTCTACCAGCATAAAGGGATCTGGAAATGTATAAGGACAGGAATTTGGCAAAACGCCACCAACGGATGTGTAGAGAATTACTATAACGTCCATAACCTAAATAAAGAAAAATTAAAATAGCAAAAACACGTGGAAGGTTTTGATGACTTCCTTGTGATAAAATATCGCTTTTTCCCCACTTCGAATTATATGGGATTTTTGTGCCTAACTTGAAAAAAAACCTACACATTTACATGGACTTCGATGGCTTTTGAAGTTGTGCATTCAGTTATAAATCTTAAAGTTTGTGATAAATCGGGTGCAATGTATAACTGTTCTGTATTGGTACAGCCTTATGAACAATGAATATATGAATACATTTTGTTGTTTCTTTCTATGAAAAGGTAGCACATAATGTTGGCACACGTGTCTAAGTCACGTGCTCCTTCAATTGTTCTCCATCCGTGGGTTTCGAGATATTCTCAAACATTTTACGAGCCATATTTTGTGACCATGCATCTTGCTTTTTTTCTCCCGCACAGAAGTATTGTAGTCCTGAAAAAAAATCTGGTCGTTTGCATGCACGACTCCTCGCATGGTGGGGAAGTTCTGGCGGGAAATAAAGGGCGCGAATTGTGCCAGTGGTGTCACGTTGCGGGATAACCTCTTCCTTATAGTTGACCTAAAAACAATAACTGGCTCCAAATGGCTGCAAGCCGGCTTTCCCTTTTCCCAGTTCTGAAAGGCCTGGGAGTTTGGCAGAAGCCCCCCCCCCCCCAACTAAAATTAAATCACTTCTAAATTGATTGTGTATAATGTTACAATGCAACAAACCTATTATGCTCCATTGTACTGAGATTCTGTTTGGGAGAAGCCCTAAAAAATCTCCTTTTTTTCTTTCTAAAGAATGTCGACGGAAATATGTGTTATCTTCTCGTTGATAATAAAATGTAAAATTGTAAAATTTTCTTTGCATGAATTAGGTTACATATTTCTGATATTGCAGTTAGTTTAAAAACCAATTTCTTATTGTTAAATCGTAGTGTTTTTGCATTCATATTTAATTGGTCACTTAAAAAGTTGCCCCCCCCCCTAAGAAAAAATAAATAAATAAAAACAAATAAAAATAAAATAAAAGATCTTAACCTCTTAAAAATATAAGTTCTGCTTTGGTAGATTTTATTATATGAAAAATGTTTATATGTTTATTTTTCCGTAGTGATGTTGTGATAATTTAGAAACCAGGACAGTACATAGGCCTAAGTGAAGCTTCTCCAACCATCAAAACACCGTGACAGACTGCACAGTCGAGGTTTAAATCATTACTACCTGCATGGATTTGAAAATAAAAATCACTTTAGCAGTTGATTAAAGTAAGAAAATGAATTGTTCAACTTGCCCCTCTGTTGACATTTTTTTCTCGAAGGGCCAATTTTCTTATAGTTATGAATCAGCTCGAGATTTTCAATCCAGATTTTAAAGAAAGCTGCCCATAGGGTGAAGCGTAGGCCTAAACAAATTTCTATTCTAAGCTAGAAAAAAAGCTATAGCAAAAAAGGGTTGAAGGTAGAATCGTATTAAAACATACGCCTACGCTCATAATAATGACCAGATGTATGCGGTTGATTTGATTGCGCACAGAAAACGGCATTAAGTGAAGGTCTCACAATTTTTCTTTAAATTAGGGGAAAGGACAAAGTTTACGGAGTACACGATTTAACTTTACTGTCGAAAAGTTAGTCTAGGGTTTGAAGGCGAATCAATCAACTTAAATTTGCAACAACACCTTATTGAAAGCGAAGGAACAGCACCGTTGTTACAATGTCAAAATTGTCATTTATAAGAACAAAGAACGATCGAGTGCGACATAAGACGGCGATGAGAATGACTATATTTTGGCGGCAAAAGTTCTGACATCGTTGGACAACATCTGAAGCGGAAAACCAAACCCAGCTGTCTTTACCGCTGACAAATTGGCAGTCGTCTTGTTCATCCCGAACTGTACAATTAATCTTGACCAAATCACAAACTCTGTGGGTTCATCCCGTGGTCGCCAAGCGACTCTTTACTCTTTCAGCCGAACGAGAAAGTCGGCAGTATAGTCACCAAACAATTGGAAAATCACCACCCACCGCTCTGCCCTTCCTCAAAACTTGGTATAGGCCCTTGGTATAGGCCCTAGTAAGGCTGTCGTCCCAGAAAAGAATGAGGGGGGAGGGGGAAATCGGTTAATTGGTCACGGTCTGGTAGGACCTCACTGCCGGGGTACTGTCTAGCGGCGCCGGGCGGCGCTGCCGGGACAGGCGCACCGAGCCCCGCTCGGTGTCCTTGGCCGTGGGAACCGTGCGCAGGGCCCGTCATGCGTGCCTGGCTCTGTGTCGCCGAATCACAACCTCCCTCACACGCTGCGTTGCCCACTGCGAGAGATTTCGAATCCAGCACGGCACGTGGAACAAAACTTTCGGGACAGGAATTAGGTCGTGGTTCGCGAAATACATGAACGCTTGGAGTTGTTTTGCGGAAGTCCTTCGGTCTTTAATTGAAAATTCGTGCGCAGCACGAACAAATACTTATTATTCCGCTCTCTCTCTCTCTGATGAATAAGGGGTTTGGATTACAAATTACCAATTAGTACTTTAGATTGTAAATTACAAGTCAATGAGGGGTGAAAGTCAATTATTTTCCGGTCCTTTTTGTTCTGGAAGATCATCATTTTCGTGCAGCCACAGTATACTCTGCATCGTTATTATATTTTAAAAAGGTATCGTCAGTTTGAAACAGGCTGGGGATAAATTTGTGGCTTTTGAAATCATTACACACAGAGACATTCTTGGTGTTTCTTCCGCTATTGACCTGACAAATAAAACCATTTTAATTGGACGGTATCTCCATTTGTTGACATGCATAAGTGCGTTATAATAATATCAACCCGAATGAAAACGAGTGTCTAGTGAAATAAATCCAACACATATTTCCTCCAACCATAGACTGTCATACAAATCTCATAACGTCTTGTGAACCTTGCAAAATTTGCATAGCTAATGAAGTATACGCAATCGTCTACTTAAACTCCACGCCATCAATATACAAATGCATTTCGTGGTATCGGTGCGACCAGTGTCAGCGCATACCGCGAGAAAATGTATAATCTAATTGGTCCGTGTGTCATTAAACTGTTTGACCCGGCAATTGTCATGCGCACAATTGTATCCCTGTCCACAATTTGGCGGGAGATCTGGTGAAGAATCAAATTAGGCGAATTGGCCTCGAGACATTACCATTTTCCGGACTATGACCTCACACAGGCTGTTAACATATACACACACCACTGTCTCCTGTAATAACAAAAATTTGTGAATTTACCTCGCAATTTTTTTAGTACCGTCTCACAGTACATTATAATTTCATTATTTTGCCATTAGT